ACTGACTATCTATCTATCTGACTGACTGACTGACTATCTATCTCTCTTTCTATCTGACTGACTATCTATCTCTCTATCTATCTGACTGACTATCTATCTCTCTATCTGACTGACTATCTATCTCTCTATCTGACTGACTGACTGACTGACTATCTATCTAGAGAGAGAGAGAGAGAGATAGTCAGTCAGTCAGTCAGATAGAGAGATTCACTTTCGCCAGAAAGTCGTGTATGCCTAAGGTTGAAAATAGATGATGTTTATAGTGAATGCCCCTATGAATGGTCTTATTTTTACGATTTAGTTTTAATCCAAATGATGTGTGCTAAGTGAGTGAACATCAAAGATCACACAACAGAAGTGCGCACACGCTCTCTCTCTCTCTCTCTCGGTCTCCCTACCATTAAGTAACTTGTGCATTGTTTTACTTACTTGTTTTTGACAGATAGAAAGATAGTCAGATAGATAGTCAGTCAGTCAGATAGATAGATAGATAGATAGTCAGTCAGATAGATAGTCAGTCAGTCAGTCAGATAGATAGATAGATAGTCAGTCAGTCAGATAGATAGAGAGATAGTCAGATAGATAGATAGAAAGATAGTCAGTCAGTCAGATAGATAGATAGATAGTCAGTCAGTCAGATAGACAGATAGAAAGATAGTCAGTCAGATAGATAGATAGATAGAAAGAAAGATAGTCAGTCAGTCAGATAGAAAGATAGTCAGTCATCTGACTGACTGACTATCTATCTGACTATCTTTCTATCTATCTATCTGACTGACTATCTTTCTATCTATCTGACTGACTGACTGACTATCTTTCTATCTATCTATCTATCTGACTGACTGACTGACTGACTATCTATCTCTCTATCTATCTGACTGACTATCTTTCTATCTGACTGACTGACTATCTTTCTATCTATCTATCTATCTATCTGACTGACTGACTGACTATCTTTCTATCTATCTGACTGACTGACTGACTGACTGACTATCTTTCTATCTATCTATCTATCTGACTGACTGACTATCTTTCTATCTATCTATCTATCTGACTGACTGACTGACTGACTATCTATCTGTCTATCTATCTGACTGACTATCTTTCTATCTGACTGACTGACTATCTTTCTATCTATCTATCTATCTATCTGACTGACTGACTGACTGACTGACTATCTTTCTATCTATCTGACTGACTGACTGACTATCTTTCTATCTATCTGACTGACTGACTGACTATCTTTCTATCTATCTGACTGACTGACTGACTATCTTTCTATCTATCTGACTGACTGGCTATCTATCTATCTGACTGACTGACTGTCTATCTATCTGACTGACTATCTTTCTATCTGACTGACTATCTTTCTATCTATCTGACTGACTGACTGACTGACTGACTATCTTTCTATCTATCTGACTGACTGACTGACTATCTTTCTATCTATCTGACTGACTATCTATCTGACTTTCTATCTATCTGACTGACTGACTATCTATCTATCTATCTGACTGACTGACTATCTATCTATCTATCTGACTGACTGACTATCTATCTATCTATCTGACTGACTGACTATCTATCTATCTATCTGACTGACTGACTATCTATCTATCTGACTGACTGACTGACTGACTATCTATCTGACTGACTGACTGACTAACTGACTATCTATCTATCTATCTGACTGACTGACTATCTATCTATCTGACTGACTGACTGACTGACTATCTATCTGACTGACTGACTGACTAACTGACTATCTATCTATCTATCTGACTGACTGACTATCTATCTATCTGACTGACTGACTATCTTTCTATCCGACTGACTATCTATCTGACTGACTGACTGACTATCTATCTGACTGACTATCTTTCTATCTATCTATCTATCTGACTGACTATCTTTCTATCTATCTATCTATCTGACTGACTAACTAACTATCTATCTGACTGACTAACTAACTAACTATCTATCTGACTATCTCTCTATCTATCTGACTGACTATCTATCTTAGTCACTGGTGATGGGTTGGGTACTGTGCGCTTTACCACGGTTTACTCTGATCATTAGCTCCTGTGTAGTTCAGTAATAGCAGCATGTGTCTGGACAGGCCATGTTTCTGATTACCCAGCAGGCATTGGGGTTCATGCAGAAATATGACCAACTCAGAATGAGTCAACCGAGCAGCCGAGCTTCAACAAAAGCTCGTACTGAATGAAATGGCTACTGATTCATAGCTCATCCTATCAAATGATTCCTCATGATCCAGTAGCCGGATAGCACTCATACATCACAGAGACGTCTACTTGACATCTGCAAGAGTGTTTGCTCATCAGATGTCAAACAGACGTATATTAGATGCCTTTAAGATGCTTGTGATTTAGAATGCATGCAAACCTGACATCTTACAGACGTCTGTACACAGCAGATGCTTTCCAGATCAAGTCCCAGAGAGATCTCTTGATCTGGAAAGCATCTGGATATAAAAAAAATAAAAGTTTACCCAACTCATTTGTTACTTATGCACATTTTTAGAAATTGAACTGAATTTTTAAATCGAATTGAATGTATGTGCATTTATGCACAACCATCCAGCGCTTTGTAATGCAATATTCCAAAATGCGCATAAAAAATAGGTGTAAACCAGGATGCAGGACACACAATCAATGTATTTAACTGTAAGTTATGAATCTGAGCGCCACTGCGTTGGTGTGTATTTACATCATGCGGGGTGTGTCGCGCGCGCGCAGAAACACACACATATATATAATAACAACAAGTTGTGTTTGCTCACGAACCACACACACACACACACAGCCCGATTTACAGGTCAGCGGAAGCGAGCGGCCAATCAGAGCCGCCCAGCGCAGCACAGCAACCAATCGGAACCGCGCTAGGTAGCGCGGTAGCCAATCAGAACAACCTAGAGCAACACAGCAACCAATTAGAACCGCACAGCGCAGCTCAGCAACCAATCAGAACCGCGCCATTCAATCGGCTCATTGTAAATCCGTCTACTAATAAAATCGTGAGGACAACCTCAGTACGTTAGCTCTAAACTCTCACGGTAATATAAAGGCTAAAATTTAGTCCCAGACTTAATTTAATCTTAATTTATCTTAATTTAAAGGCTAAACAAGATTGTTTTTCATGCCCCACTGGCAGATATTTTTAAGCAAACACTAAAAAACAAGACATAATATCTTAAATGCATCCCGATTCAAGGACTTTTACGTGTTTATACTAGAAAACAAAGCAAAAATCCTAACAAAATCAATTTTTTATGATTGTTTTAAGCAAAAACTAAAAACAATACATAATATCTTAAGTCTTTTTCGCTAGTCAAGTAAATGCATCCCGATTCAAGAACTTTTAGAAAACAAGACGAAAATCCTAAGGAAGGAAATCATTTGTCGCAGTGCACACAGGAGATGTTGTAGGCAGAACGATCACTATTCAGTTCACTTGTGTGTTCTACGGAAGATGGTCAGTCTTACAGGTTTGGTACAACAATGGTGAGTAAATGATGACAGCGTTGTTCATTAGTGGGTGAGTGATCTCTTGGATCGTGAGTGAGTGTCATGTGTTTATGACGTGCCTGTTGCATTGGTTCTTCATCGGTCTGCTCCACGCTGCAGGAGAAATACACCGACGGTCTGTGCGTTTTCTGCAGAACAAACACACACGTGGTGAGCAACGATGGAACTACAGCGCCTCCGCAGGTGCACGGAGGTATTACTGTACCTGGTTCTGTCCCGACGCTCTGGACGGGTTCCTGCCGGACTCCGTCTGATCCGCGGCCGGACTGCTTGCTCTCTGCCACAAACACAGGTGAAATACATGACACGAGCAGCTGACGCACAGGTTAACGCTCTCGGACCTCGGCAGACGTGCGTGTAAACACGAGACACCATGTGTGTTTCGATAACTATAACGAATTTGTAATCGCGCTTAAAAATACGATTCAGATTCAAGAACTTTTAGAAAACAAGACGAAAATCCTAAGGAAGGAAATCATTTGTCGCAGTGCACACAGGAGATGTTGTAGGCAGAACGATCACTATTCAGTTCACTTGTGTGTTCTACGGAAGATGGTCAGTCTTACAGGTTTGGTACAACAATGGTGAGTAAATGATGACAGCGTTGTTCATTACTGGGTGAGTGATCTCTTGGATCGTGAGTGAGTGTCATGTGTTTATGACGTGCCTGTTGCATTGGTTCTTCATCGGTCTGTTCCACGCTGCAGGAGAAATACACCGACGGTCTGTGCGTTTTCTGCAGAACAAACACACACGTGGTGAGCAACGATGGAACTACAGCGCCTCCGCAGGCGCACGGAGGTATTACTGTACCTGGTTCTGTCCCGACGCTCTGGACGGGTTCCTGCCGGACTCCGTCTGATCCGCGGCCGGACTGCTCGCTCTCTGCCACAAACAGAGGTGAAATACATGACACGAGCAGCTGACGCACAGGTTAACGCTCTCGGACCTCGGCAGACGTGCGTGTAAACACGAGACACCATGTGTGTTTCGATAACTATAACGAATTTGTAATCGCACTTAAAAATACGATTCATTGTGCAGCCCTAGTGTAGAATTTCTTGTTGTCGCAGACTTAGAATGGTTATTAAAACCAATGCCCATTCCGCCATGGTGTGAATGGGCATTTCGTTTTAGTTTACTTGTAGAATCACTTATCCTTAGCCTATTATATTCAATATTTTCACGTGAATGTTACAGGACGTGTATGTGTTTATTTACCTGTGTGTGTAGGGAGCTGGACGAGTGTGCCCTTGATAGTGTACCACTGTCTCGGTCATCCTCCAGTTCATCCCATTCCGACGGAGCTTTGCTCTGGGAGTGACTAGAAACACACAAACACAGCTTCAACTAACCCGGGTCTGACCCTCATCTGAAGATATGAATACCCCCGTATGAAATCTGGCGTCATTCACAGCAGGGTCAGAAATTAACTTTTCCATTAAGGGGCAATATTGGCCCCCTGGATCACCAAATCTACGAAATAGATGTTTTAGCTATTTACGTATAACTGCACTGTGTTGTTTACGAAGAGGGAATTCGCGTGCGTGTGCAATCAACACAGCTCTGGCGTTTTCCGCGCTGACTAAATTAAGCACCTCTGATTGGCCAATGTATTCCTACGTTCAACAGAAACACGTTTGACTGGTTATAAGGCTGAACGTTGCACAAAACAGTGCATAAAAGCTATTTGATGGAGTGGGAGCGAATCTAAATGTAATTCCACGAATTGACGCTTTTTAACCATTTTCAAACTGTATTTTAATCACAGCAGCCGTAATACATTTTTAATAGTGCAGGAGCATTTTTCCCCCTGTGTCTTGAAGTTATGGGACATTTTTATTCATTTTAGTGGCATTTTTGCCATAAGCCCTCGTTAATTTCCGACCCTGATGTATGCATGTTTATTTCATATTTGGTACAATTTGATAGCTACCTTTGAGCTCTGTAATGAATTAATTAATTACATTAGTTTGATTCTGAAATTAGGATAGCCTTGCTAAATACACCCTCTTTTTTGAAATTGAGTTGAACAGTGATCAGACATTTTCTGTCCACCTGGCCGGTTTGTAGCGGGAAAGCTCTCGTTTCTGTCTGCTCTCCATCTTCCTCAGGTGGCTCGGACCCTCCCTCTGGAAGACCGTTTTGACCTTGGGAAGGTCAGCCATCATGGCATACTCCTCCCGGTTGAGACCCGACGACCCGGCCGAGAGGTGACTCGACTCGGACTCCATGGAGCTCTGAGAAGACGTGTGTCTTTGGACCGGAGGCGAGGGGCTTCTGTGTCGACTCTGTGCTTGTCGGTTGTCAGACGTGAAGCTCTGTGCTTCTAGGTTCTGCCTCACGCTGCTCCTCTTGCTTCCGTCTCGTGGCGTTTCCCAGGCGGATTTCGTAAAGGAACCAGTTGGTTTCTTCTCACTACTGTGGTGTGAGGGGGAGGAGTTTCGTGAGACTGACTGGCTGTGGAGAGAGTGGGCGGAGCCTCTCCAGCCTCCCGATGAATCGTGCTGTGAATGGCTAGTCGTGGTGTTTCTTACGTAAGAGGCGGAGCCACTCACAGTGTTCCTCAGAGGGGCGTGGTCTGCAATCTCACGCCCCAATGTAGACAAAGAGGGGCTCCGCCCACTCTCTGACTTGCGAGGAGGAGATTGGCTATGAGCTAAGGGGGAGGGACTGCGGCTTTCAGAGCCACGGTTTTTCGAGGACTGGCTTGTTTCGGACTTACGAAGCAATGATGGGCCAGGGATTTGGTGATGACCTCTACTTGGTGAACTGTGTCGGCTCTCTCGGTTGTAGCTGTGAAGGGAGCTTTTTGCTTCTGGTTTCTTCATTGTGGCTTGGCTTTGCGTCTCATAGGTTTTTCTGGATGGGGAGGGGCTTTTTCTCTCATGACTCAACCCATTAGACATTGATCTTCGATTTGATTGGCTTGGTGTTCCATAGCCCTTTCTGACTGGAGACGCACTTCGTCGACTCTCTTGAATTTGACTTGATATGCCATTGGTCTCTATCCTCCCCACAGGGGACTGGCTTCGAGAATCATAGCGGCTCTTCAAGGAGGAAGAGGAGGAGAATCCCTGTCTGTCAGGTCCGCGCTCATATGAAGGGTTTTTCGTTTCGGTTTTCCTATCATAACTCCTTCTGGAAGGGGACTGGCTTTGGGAATCATAGCGGCTCTTCAAGGAGGAAGAGGAGGAGATTCCCGGTCTGTCAGGACTGCGCTCATATGAAAGACTTTTCGTTTCGGTTTTCCTATCATAACTCCTTCTGGAAGGGGACTGGCTTTGGGAATCATAGCGGCTCTTCAAGGAGGAAGAGGAGGAGATTCCCGGTCTGTCAGGACTGCGCTCATATGAAAGACTTTTCGTTTCGGTTTTCCTATCATAACTCCTTCTGGAAGGGGACTGGCTTTGGGAATCATAGCGGCTCTTCAAGGAGGAAGAGGAGGAGATTCCCGGTCTGTCAGGACTGCGCTCATATGAAAGACTTTTCGTTTCGGTTTTCCTATCATAACTCCTTCTGGAAGGGGACTGGCTTTGGGAATCATAGCGGCTCTTCAAGGAGGAAGAGGAGGAGATTCCCGGTCTGTCAGGACTGCGCTCATATGAAAGACTTTTCGTTTCGGTTTTCCTATCATAACTCCTTCTGGAAGGGGACTGGCTTTGGGAATCATAGCGGCTCTTCAAGGAGGAAGAGGAGGAGATTCCCGGTCTGTCAGGACTGCGCTCATATGAAAGACTTTTCGTTTCGGTTTTCCTATCATAACTCCTTCTGGAAGGGGACTGGCTTTGGGAATCATAGCGGCTCTTCAAGGAGGAAGAGGAGGAGATTCCCGGTCTGTCAGGACTGCGCTCATATGAAAGACTTTTCGTTTCGGTTTTCCTATCATAACTCCTTCTGGAAGGGGACTGGCTTCTTGAATCATAGCGACCCACTGAGGAGAAGGAACTCTGTCTGTCGTGACCAGGGCTTTTCGTTTCGGTTTTCCTCACAGCAGGACCTTCATAACTCCGTCTGGAAGGGGACAAGCTTCCACGGTTCTCTGGGAAGGAGCTGTCGATCTCGGGTTTCCGTAAAGTGCCTCTCAGATCCATGTGAGAGAGAGACTTATTGATGCTACTGACGGTCCCTGCGGTGCCTGCAAATGATCGGAGGTTTCCGGAGTAGCTGTTCCGTGCCGGATTGACCGATGCCCGATCTGGTCCGTGCAAAACTCCGCCCGATCGAAAGCCAACCGTGTTTAGAGAGGAGCTGGACTCGGCCCGTTTGAACGGGGAAGGGGAGGAGGAACGGGAGAGGACAGAACTTCTTTGGAAAGAGTCGAGCGTTCCAGACTGCCGTACAGGAGAGGTGTGGGCATTCCGTCCAGCTCTTCGACTGGAGCCGCTGAGCGATTCCGCTTGTTTGAAAGGGGTGGGACTCAGGGCCCGGGGCCCGGCGAGGGCCTCGACCTCCAGGCTGAGATCCAGCGGCTCCGGAGGATAGTTTTCTTCAATCAGCTCAGCATTTTGAAACTCAGAGGTCCTCCTTTCGGAAGCGATGCCCAGATCCGGGTTTCGAAATGGAATGGTGGCTTTGGGTTCGGGGCTGTTGTTGCTTGGCAGGGGATGTCCTCTCTCTGAATGCCTATAAGGAGGGCTTTGATCACGGACAGCTCTGCTGCCCGCAGCCCTTCCCAGAGAGAAATATCCACTCTCCCGTTCCCTCCGTTCCTTCTGGCTGCCTGCGGACAGAGAGACAAGATCATGACCTGTGTTAATATGTGAAATGATACTGCGCTCGTGCACCGTGACACAGTGCTCAGGAAAAGCCTGGTGCAACCCAACACCACCTGACACCTCAAACTGCCACTCTAACCATCTGAACAACACCACGAGCTGCTCAATTGGTAACTAGATATTGGTGTTTTCCTCACCGTGAGAAACACCAAACTGCCCAAGACCATCACGGCGACTCTGGGACACCTCCGTCCATCCTCGGGGGCTTGCACGGTATGGTGGATGATCCAAGCGGGTCATTCTATGGCAAGATGAAGGATGATGAAGGAGGCTGGAGTATTCCTCTGTTCCGGCAGAGCTACTGTAGACGGAATCGTCACCCTGACTGGGATTAAAGATATATAAGG